AGTAGATCTTCAGGAAAGTCTTCTTCTCTTGGGGTCCGGACTCTTCTCTGCGTTCTCCTCGGTGGCTCTGATCTTTCTGCAGTCCCTGAGCCACGATTCATCGTAGCTGTCAAGCCGTACTCGAACGGTGAGATGTCCGCCTCTATGTCCTTTCACAGGATCACCGGGAGAACTTCAAACACGTGGTGCACCGTCCAAATACTCGGAGAGGATCGTGTCCAGCTCCGCTACCAATCTCGTTGAAGGGGATGACAAGCCCTCGAAGTCTCGATCCCGTCGAAGCGAAAAGCGCAGCGATTTCTGCAAAAGGCGTAGCGGTCGATTGGCGGTCAAGGGCCCTCGTAAGCCCAACAGCAAACGGAAAACATGGAAATGGATCAAATCTACCAATGTGCATTCGTGACATTGACAGTATATATAAATACGTCATAATTTTGTAAGTATATTAACTTGGTTTGAAGAAGTGGTGGCTGGGATTTAAATGGCCACCTCGGAGGTGTGCAGTGTTGGCAGCCTCGGGTATGGAGTTTGAATCTTCGTCCAAGACTTGCTGCCTTGGAGATTGAACTTGAATTGGCTTCGAATTGACTTGTGAGAAGTAAGTTCGACTTGCATCCCTTTGGAGCATGTCGGGGCAAGCAGTAGATGCTGATGCATCTTCAGAACAGCCTGGAAGTTTGTCGTCGAGTAGCGCTAGCGCTACAGTGGCTGAACGAAAAGAATAATAAGTTGCACACGACTTTGACAATTTGACCAACTGGCCGCATTAGGAGCGGCAAGCCGTGGATATCGCGAATGAAGCTGTTTTGAAGAGGCAGTGTGCGCACGCAAGTGTGGCAGCCGTATCCAGCAGACTGTCGCGCATGGAATCCAGTGTGGCCTTCGACTTGGATGACAACATAGACAGCATCTGCTAGAGATTCAGATGCCCAGCAGTTCTACTCAATCTCTTGTTGGCTCGAAGTGATGCTCTTGACGCAGTGCTCTTGACATTGAGCATACCTGCACTGCTCTTGCTATCTCATCAAGTTTATGAGAGCCAGTCAAAGTGTTGACCCCTCTTGAAGTCTCACAAGGTGGGGCCCTCTTGGCTTTTCTCACTTGGTCTCACTGTCACTATGAAACGACTCGGCCCATTGACCATTCGCAGAACTTTCCGAAGCAAGACACACCTGCAAATGTCAAAGCAGAGAGAAAACGAAAGGCACATAAAGTAACAGTCATAGACCCTGGAACGACATGAAGTTGGAATTTCAGGGACCAGTGAAAAACAAGGGCGTGCTTACCACAGGTTTTAATCACTCAAGCCTTGCATGCTCCCAAGGACTTGCCAGGCCACCAAAAGGGCTGCAATTCACGTGTCCGCTTGCATCATCGTCTACAAAAGAATTACTTTCCCGCTTCATCCCATGTGTGCTTGGGGCGTTTCGGTTTATGGGTTTTGAGACCCCTTTTCTTCATTTTTCTTCTACACTCACCTGGACGATCACTTGTTTTTTTGTAAACAATGTTGAGAAGGGCATGGGAAGACCAAGAGTACTGTAACCCACAGGCGATTGCACACCTTGGAATAGGAACAGTGCTGACACTTTACATTATATAGTACATTACGATTGTTGTTCCTTTTTGTTCAAGCGCAATCCTGCATTTGGATGTGTGGGGCCACCAGTCTTCAATCTGCCAATGCTGATTAGATGCAGACGAACACGCAAAATATCAATAACGTGCATCAGTGCAGTACACCAATTTTAGTTCAGAATATGTGCATGGATCATGGATGGTGGTTCCATCCAAGACCCACTGCCGCAGTGTGTTTGGGCATTTCTGCTGGTTGAATGAAGGTTCCAGATTCCATTTCTGTTTGGAGTGAAATCTCTCAAGATGGCCCTGCCAGGATTACAACTTTGACGCCGTTTTCGACGAGTAACTTGGCCCCACTGCAGCCTGTGGAGACACACAACAGTCACAACGGTTTGAACAAACTCAACTGCCCGAGTCTGTGACTGTGACCTCAGATGTTTGCGTGACATAAGATATTATAAGGATATTAGATCAGGCATGACAAGGTGTTGTCCTTTTGTTTGGACATCTGGGGCGTTGGTTTTCAGTTTCCCTACACAGCTCTCAGGCACAGCTCTCAGGAGGATGTCTTCGCGGATTGCCGGGGTCTGATGGCCTCGGCCGTCGATGGCTTCAATGTCACAGTGCTCGGAGCACCCGGTCGGTCCCCAGGGCGGCACAGGATGCGGTCGATTCTGGCGGCCAATCGCATGAAAACATGGTTTGATTATAATGGACAATGCATGGAAACGTGTTATATATATATATGTGCGTATATGTATATAAGACTGTATATAAGTTGCAACTATCATGTCAGACCAATCGTGTGATTTTGGATTTCACCCCAGACATTCCCAGACTCGCTGATCGGTTCACTTTGGGAAAAGGCAGGAAAGAACCTTTCATTGGATCGGTTCTTCTGTTCGGGCCCACTTTTGCACGTTGGAAACAGGGTATAATAGGGTTGTGACGAATCTCTTGCAACTCAATGGAGCTTCTAGATCGGGAATGCTGCCTGAGTCATTTCTTTCAACTTGACTTCTTCTCCAGTTTTGGCAACTGGCTACCAGTTCTATAGGCTGGGATGTATTTTCACATACGGCTCAACAGTCCTTTATGGCTCAACAGTGGTCTCATAGATCAGCCGTCCGCGGCCCAGCGGCCTCCACGGCGGAAGGCTCCGCAAAAGCCACGGGTTCGCGGGGCGCATGGAAAGCCATGGAATGACTGCCAGGCCCGCAGATCGCGTGGCTTTGCACTGGAACTCGATTTTTGATGACCCTGGATTGGTGCTCAGACTGGAATGGTAAAAGTTAAGGGTCCTCTTTTGAAGGAATGTGAGGAAGTTGTTCCAACGGCATTTTGGAATAGAAGGCTATCTTTTCGGTGTATTTTCTTTGTTGCGTTTAGGGACATTTTTGTTGGATCTGCTTTTTGTTGCTTTTCTATGCGTTTCTGGCTTTTCATTGTTTATCTACAATGATGTCTCATGATCTTTTGCTTTTGTTGTTTTTATGTTTGTCTTGCTTTTCGTTACTTCTTTGTGGTTGCTCCTTCCTTTCTTGCTTTTCCTGCCATGCTTGTGTCTGTTTTGCTTTTCCAAGCTTTCCTCTGCTTTGTTGCTTCGCTGTGATGTCTCCTGCTTTTCTTGCTGTTTTAACGCTGGTCTTGCTCTTCCTGGCTTTTCTCATGCTTTTCTTTACTTTCCTGCTTCTTGTCCTCTTTGTGGCGGTTGCTCACATACTTTTGGATGCTAGCCCTAACACTCACCCTTCTGGTTCTTTTCATGCAGCTGAGCCTAGCTTGTGGTTGTGAAGTGGCTGCTTCATTGATTGAAATCCCCACCCTCCCACCCCGTATTCATTGCCCAAGTGCAATATTAGGTGTGACTGCTTGGGTCTGCCACTGGTTGGACCAGCCCATGCTTGTGCAGCTATCCCTGACGTGCGCCCGTTGCTGACATGGGTTGGGTGGGGTCACTTGAGCTGAGTGTTGTATTGTTTCCCTGTTGTCATTGCTGCCGCTCTCTAAGGCCTTTGTTGCCGTCACTTTTCAAGCCTTGATTTTGTGTTGCTTCATTGCTGCTCATTTTTGGCGCTCTATACTTTTCCTACTCTTGTTGTGTGGTTTCTGCTCTACTGGTTGTTGTGTTTGTCTCAACTTAAAGGACAACCCAAGTGCATCATATGAGCAACACCTTTCCATTCTTTACTCCCTTCTCCAATATCATACACTTGTCTCATGTTTGTTCGCCTTGCAGGCGGAGTTTTTGTTTTTGTTTTTGCCTTGTGGTCCAGCTGGTTTGCATTTTTGCACACAGACAGCTAGCCTTCCACTTCCAATGGGGGAACAACTACAGAGAAACCACGACAGCAAAAAAGATTTCCAAACACAATGCAAAAAATCATGGCTTCTAACTAAATGCCATGGTTAATGGGGGGGGTACGTGGTGGCTGTCGCAAGTGGGTTCCGTTTTTCCGTTTCATCACCGGTGTCAACATGTGTCAACGTATTGTGGTTACAGTGTATATGATACGTATTATTTCTGATTATGCGAACACACATGGTTGCACTATATAATGCACCATATTACACTTTGCGCACTTTCAAGTCCAAATATTCAAACATATTCAAACCCAAAGAAGCACCCGTTCAAATAAGACCGCGCCCTTTCAACATGCTACCATTTCGCAAATAAAACCAGCCTAGGCATCCCCAAAAATAATACCAAAAAAGGAATCCCCTGTTTGAGGTTTTACAGAATCCCAAAAAGAGAACGAAGGACACCAACTCTGAACTTCTTCAGCTCGAAGCCTCGATGGAATTGTTGCAGAAAAGACCACCCACCAGTGGCGCCAAGCCAGCAAAGCCACCCAACATCATGAGGTGTTGCGTGGCAAAAAAGGAAGGAGGGGGTGTTCATTCACTCGTTTGCTTTGCTCTGAGTGCTTGCCTCCCTGCCACTTCAGCTTGACATTTGGTATTTGGTGCGAATGTTGGGCAAACCAAAGCTTCCTACAACTCCAGCGGTGAAGCAGATTCATTGGTACAATATCAATTGCTGGGCTCCCGACATGTCCTGACCTCTTCAGCCTGACAAGTGCGTTGGCCCTACTCTCACCAATCGATCCCTAAACCGCTGGTGCACAGAGGATGGCGACCTGTTTGAATCAAACGAGTTATACAGTGATCATCATGGGATGTTGCTTTTCTGGGTCCATGCCTTGTTTTGAGGCATCGCACGCCAGCCACGGCCGATCTCTTCTCTCCGTGAGAAACCCCACCCCGCGGTCTGCGGCCTGCGCTCGGCCACGGGGGCAAAAAGGCCGCTTCGCCGTCCGCCGCGGGGTCGTTTGCCACCACACCGTCAGGTGCCTCGGCGTGCGAGCGATGGGTCGAAGTGGGCCCCAGCCGCCCAGACGCGCTGAAGCAACCGTCCCATGGGGGCCGAGGCGACCGGGCAGTTTGGGGGTGCGAACGTGAAGCGATCAAGGGCCGATGGATGTAACTGCCCCGTCATCCTATTTGGAATATATTGAATCAAGATGAATCAAGAACATATTGATTGGACTATATTGGACTTATTAGATCTTATTAGATAACTAGACCTTGTTTGAGATCATTTAAGACTTTGTAGACTATAGAGCAATCTTTTTTCAATCTTGTAGACTCCTCCCAACAACCGACCTTTTCCTTTTCATGTGCCAGTGAGAATCCCCCACAGATGGATTAGGAATGATTAGGAATTCGTGGCTGAATGTTTGATATCACAAAGCCAGGTCAAAAACGTGGCTTTTGGACATGCTCAGTTCGCGCCGTCGATGCTTAGATGCCTCAACTAGTGCCTCAACTGCCAGTGTCTCCTCATCGCCCCACCGTGAAAAACCCTTCCTGAGGGGTGATGACATTTGACATGTACTTTGGAACTGGAGCCATGAGGCATGAGATGGATTCTTATAGATTCATGGTTCTTGAATGTTCTTGACCAATTTTTTTTACTTGTCCTCCTGGTGTTTCAAAGCTTTAGACACGGAGATCTTCTGGGACATGATTTGTTCACCTGGTGGACAGTGGTGGTTGTGAGGCGAACTCCCTCCACGGCACGCAGAGTCCATTCAACTCTCTACTGGACTCCCGCAGCACCTTGCGGCACCGTGGCACAACCGAAGGACAAGGTGAAAAACAGGTGTTGTTCGACCCACGCGGAAACCACGGCTGTTGAGTCAAGCACCAACCATCACCAAACACGGTGATGGTTTCTGTCCTTTTGGGTGTTGGGCCCGGGAAGAATCGGCCTAGGCACAGAGACAGGCTTGGCAAGTCGGGCCTTTGCAGAGTTCTGATCCCCTGATTCCTTTGCTTGAGCCTGACGAGCCGTCGGGACTCCAAGGTACTTGAAGTCCCTGGCAGCGCCAAAGCCACTCACGACGCCTTCAGAGCAGTTGTGTGGGGTCAAGAGTTTGGAGGAGGGTGGTCGTGTCGGACTCGCGTTGGCGTTGATTTCCGAGGATCCCCGTCTCATACCCGTCTCAACAATGGCAGGAAGAGGTAACTGACCAACGGACTCCTAAGACGCCTGTGGACTTGAAATTACAGGGTGGGTGTTTTTTATTTGCAGCTCTTGGTTCTGACTGGTCTTGATTGGCCGGTGACAATGGGTGAGAATGTAACGCTGCTTGAGTTTTTTGTGGATGCAAAGAAGGCAAGGCGGAAGGGAGGGAGACAGGCAAGAAATGTTCGACAGAATGAAGGAAGGAAGCCTGCTTCGTTGTTGGCGCTACTTGTAACCTTGTGACTTTGGATTGCAAATGTCCTTGTGTCAAAATACGTTTCAAAACACTCCAATGTAGCATACCTTTTGGTGAGCCGCCCGAGGGCAAAACATGTAAGGCAGCCAGGTTTGTGAGCCACCCGAGGCCACTGTTCCAATACAGATGCCTTTTGTCAGCGAGCCGATTCCCACGTAGCAAACCTTTTCTGAGCAACGCGTAGGTAACTTTTGCCAGGCGAAGTGCAGCGTACCTTTGTGAGCCACCCTGGGGTGGTTTTTTGGGACATTGCAGCCAGTGCATGCCCACCTTCACCTGATTGTGCATTCTGGGGCTACCCTTACATGCTCCACTTTCACCTGCTGGTGGCGCCAGCAACAAAGGTATAGGACCTATAGGAACTGGCACGCATTCCCAACTACGTGGCTGCCATGACCACATGTCGAAGCTGTGAGCCACGTCCGCCCGAAAATGTAGAGCGCCATACAAGCATGTCGCACTAAGTAGCCACTGCAAGCTTCAACACTATCATGTTCATATCAATATAGGCACTAGTTCATCCCCTAAATGACAGTGGCGGGTGTTGTCCGCGGCCAAGATCATCAAACGTCAACGATCTGGACATGTTGAGCGAGACATTTCAGCGCAGACATGCGCAGAATAAGACGACAAGTGCTCAGGGCAACGGTTGCCATGCCATCTTCGGAACCATCTCCGTGCCCGAGGAGCCAGTTCCAGGATGGTGCCTTGTTGGTGCCCGAGGGGTAAAGTGCCATGGTGCTGCCTCAGTAGTGATCCACGGCTGTCACCTTCAATCAAGTTGGCCAACAGAAGAGGGAAGGAAGGAAGGAAGGAAGGAACCAGATACTGTACCTGAACGTGCTATGAACACTTAGGGTATGTTTCTTCCCATGTAAGCTCCTTTCCTGCCTTCGCCTGCTTTCGCTGCTTTGTTTGCCGAGTATCCGTCCGCGCTCAGAGTCGAAGAGAACTATCCGACAAAGCCTCGACAGAATGAGAAAACTGCCATACAAACATCCATTAGGGCCCCATCTAAAGGTAAAGCACTAGAAAGAATCTAGAAAGCCATTGGCTATTGTATATGATATGTGTCAGAGTGTCACAAAAAGCCACGGGCTTTGCTCTCTCTTGGCTTAGCTCATAACTCCAATCGCGGACCAACGACCACCTGGGTTTAAGAGTTTCTCTCCGAGGAGAGCCTTCCGGCAGTTGTCAGCACACAGGGTGGATTTGAACAGTTTCCACTACAATGTGCGGCGACCCGTGCGATGGCGCGAGCCACATCGCGGTGAAGGCGATGAGGTGTGATTCTATGGTTGCTACCAAGCTCAGGTGGTGTGTAATGTGGAGTGTGTCCTTCAACGGCAGTGCAGAGGGTCCTGGGCCAACTCTGGCGTAGAAGAGTGAGTATTTTAGTCTTGTTCAACACACTCCGGACAAGAAAGGAGAACGATCACTCTCGGAGTCTCGCCATGATTGCCCGCCCGATCCCTTTGGTTTTCGTCTTCGCACTGGACGCAAGTTTTAATCATCTTTGTTTGTTGTTCTGCTACCTGTTCGGGAGGCAATGCCAAATTGTGGGGATTGAAAGGGTGACTGCGTGGTTGAAGTTGGAACTGTGGGTCGAAGAGGCATGAGTACACAGGTGCCTTAAAGGTTTCGGATGGTTTTCGCACATGCCTTTCTTCCTTCGGATCTGACCCGTTCCCAAAACCACCCACTGCACGCTGGACTCCCTGGATCAAGAGGTATAAAGAGATCATCAATACATAGTCTAGTGACCGTCCGGTTTGAGGAAGTCCCAGCTTGCTCCACTCAAAGAGTCTCAGCTGATTCTGTTCCAAGATGTTCCAAGTAGAGTGTATGATAGTATAAAGTAACAATGATGTAATAATATAGTATATGTAGGACTTGTTGCTGATATCATTCCCAGCGGTTTGCCCTTATCCTGTCGTCTCATCCCACAGAACCTGTCAAAAACTCACACCCCCTTCCCATGCTCGCTCCAGCCACCACGCTCGCTCCCAGTGCCTTCGTCGAACACGCAGACCGCGGTCCGCGGTGCCTTCGCTCCCCGGGGCCCCGCGGTCGGGTCGGATGGCGCGGTGCATGACCGAGGCGGTGATCAACTCCTGGGTCAAGGGCCGACGATGGTCGGAGGCGCTGGCCTCGCTGCGCGCCATGGGACGCTGGGACCCGATGGGATGACGGGATCGCGCTGGGGTGCGTGGCAGTGATCTTGGGGCGCACCCAGAGGGTGTGGACCAACCGAGGCGGGATGGGGGTCCAAACAGAGGTTTTCTGTGCCAGCTGTGCCTGACCGTGTGGTGGGTTGGCTGGTTAAGAATCCGTCATCGAGTAAATTCCCATCCTCCCCTTTTGAGACACCGGAGGTGTTCCATTCCTTAAAATTGTATCGCCAGATCACTTTGCACTACTGCCAAGGGGCTCGATCCAAAGCAGAACGGTTTCACGCCTGACACTTTGAGATCTTTGAGCATCAGACTAAGTCCATTCCATCGAACACTAAAGTTCCAAGGGCGGTCTTGGGATATTGGACACCTGCATCAAACCTGCACAACTGATTGGGGCCGACCCGGCTACCGATGCCCTTTCGATGTACCAACTACTTCAGGAAGCATGCTGCCATGCTACATTTTAGCTGGTGCAAACATCTGGCATGTTGTTCTTCTTAGTTTGAGTTGCTTATACCAGTGGACCTGTCTTGCAGCTGAATTGAGAGAATTTGTTGTTGCCCCATGGCAACTGGATGATGGGGCCTGCCAGGGGCCACAGCTTTTGTGAAACCATTGCAGTCAAATGTGTTGTGCCTTTGGTGGGTGTAAGGGTCTACTTAGAAGAGCTGCAGTGCGCAACCGCAGCGCCTAACCGATGCCCGAACTGATGCCTACTTTGAACATACCTCACAACTTGTGCAAGTGTACTTACTTTGTCACCATTGGTGTGCCAAACTATGGCAAGCTTGATGCCGCCAACAAAGCTAGCTGAGGGTGACAAGTGAACCTGTTGCGCAGCCAACCCTACAAACCTGCCTAACCTATCAAACCCGACCCATTCGTATATATGTATAGATATATATAATATATACATATAACTATATATATATGTGTGTGATTATATATATATGACTATAGATACACGCTATATGTATATTATAATGAATGAATCGTAATATAATATATATCGTGAACAGGTGTTCCGCATTGGTCGTGGACATCACTCAGGACTAGCGCAGGTGGAAGCCGACCTGGCAAGTTACAATACTTTGGCCTCCCCATGTGGTGAATGGCGTCTCTCGCTGTCCATACGCCAGTGCTGCTCGTCAGCACCGTGTCGTGAGCCGAGTGGTGCTTCTGGTGGTTTGTGAGCCGTTTGTGAGTGCGTCAACATGAAATCACACATGCGTCGTGATGCCTCGTGTTGCCTTTCTGAAAAGGAAGGAGCTTCACCAGTTTTGGTTGAAATGATCAACTTCTGGTCGAAAGCAGTGGCTGTGTGTAACTAACACCTTCGTCATGTTTTTCAAAGTACTGGTGACCCAAGCCGAAGTGGCTGGATATGCTGGAGACGTGCAGCAGGCTCCCTGCGGCACTCCTTCACCTGCAATTTAATCGGCTGCATTGCATCCGTGAGACCTTTGGCGGCAGATGAAGTTGGCAGTAATCTAGACTGTTGATGGATGAGGCATGACAAAACCCTCCCCTCCCGATCTGACCGGCCGAAACACAATTGCTCCGGCCACGACTACGCTCTTGTCGGAGACAAAGGGCGAACAGTGTGTGCTGTTATTAAGGTGAAAAGCTTAAGCTGGGACTGGCAGCCGGCACGTGATTGTGTTGCTCAACTAGTTGGATCTCCTGACTGGCGGCGTCAGAGTTTTGAGATGTTTTGATAAAAGCATCAGGGTATATCAGGGTTGTTTGTGGGGCAACTTGACAGTAAGGAACTACAGTGGAGCAACATTGGGCATCCCGTGTTTTGACCAGTTGTCTCGAGCGAGCCGTGGGTCAGCCGACGATAGTCTCGGTCCGACCGACCTGAGGTAGTTGCGCGGAGGTGGGGCACTGGCAACGAGCCCAAGGACTTCTCTTGAGTTTACTGAAGACAGATCTCCAAGCAGATGAACGACCCGGAAGCGCCTTGAGACTTGCCAGGGAGTGGTCACACTACGTCCGATGAGTATCCCATGACACCAAGGACTTGAACGGTTTTTGCAGGGTGTTCACCACGTTTATTCGACGCACAGCACCAGCAAAACACGCTGCTTTGGACGGACAAGAAAACGTTTTGTTCGAAGAATATGCGGCTACTGGGAACAACTTAAGACGCCCTTGTTTGATGTTGGTTGATGTGGGTTGTACATTCCTTAGAACGGAGTATCGATGAGTATTGATCATTTGCGAAGATCTTTGATTGGACGATGGACAGCTGAGGATCAATGCCTGTGAGAAGTGCTCAAACTGGACAGGACGCCTCTTCAGAACCAGAGAACAATTAACTCATATAGTAAGCACAAAGACATATTTTAGGACGACATAACGTTAGGTTTATATAGCATATATAATCATAATAACCAACAAATTCCAACAAAGTACAAATCTCAACGATTCTAAGCACTCATAGGGAGGTCCCAATGCAGATATGTATTGGAATGATGGTTGGTCTAGGTCACCAGCGAGGAATTGATATTGGCATTGAACTGAATGATCCGGTCAGAGGTAGGCTGGGAGGCATGTGTGCCACCACTCTCACTGAATCCGCTGGGGTTCAGAACTTGCACGCTCCACAGTTTCAGCAAGATAGGGTGAGGTGGAGCCGGAGATGGGAACCAATCCAGTCGCTGAAAGTGGACCTCCACTGCTGACATGTTATGCGCGTCAAAATGGCTGCGCTCGTCAAGTAGTGCAAGTGGTGACTTGAGCAGCTCGTGCTGACATGAATTTGCGACTTGTGACGAAAACCTTGTGCAAGCCATAATGTGGCCTTTCAGGGTTTCCGTCATCTTTCACCGGAGTCAATCTTTTCGGGGCACGTCCGGAATCTTTACATAGTCTTGGCCATCACGTCGATGTCGTGTGTATTTCGATGGTACCACATTGTCCAGAACCGCGCTTTCCGCCACCGGGCCGAAGCCCGAGCGGCCCCAGCCGAAGCCCGCGCGAGCACCGGGCCGAAGCCGATGGATGGTACCGCGCTCGGCGCCAGGAGCCTTGAGCTTCTTGGAGTGGATGCCGTGGAGCCTGGTCACTCCCAATCGGATCACCTTCAACGCTGCCTCCAGCGCCTCGGGAGGCCCGAATACAGACATGGAAGACATTGAAGTATGAAGTTAGAAGAAATGCCACGTTTTGGGGGGGAACCTTACAGGATATGAATGGATATCAGTGGATATGATGTGATGATATATGATGATATGATATTAGACTATAGATGATATAGATGATATGATATTAGACTATAGATGATATGTGGGAGTTGATCTAAATTCCTTTATCCGGGATCCGTCATTTTCGCCAAAAAAATTACTTTCGCCAAACTTTCGCCTTCCTGCGTTTTATCTTTCGCCGAAGTACGTTGTATTTATGTGTGCCATGTATGTTGTGTTTTGTTCACGTCAATGGCTTCTTCTTTACTGGCAAACACAAAATAGAAACTTCACTGTTTGTCAGCATGTGTCTTCTACTTAACTGTTGACACCCTGTACGTCTCTTTTGTTTCTCCTGGGTGTCAGCAAGAATCAAAATTGCAAGAATCACTGTAGTAGCCGGTCACTCAAACTTACTCATAATGGGCTGGGGGTCAGATGTGGCAGGGTGAACTTTCGCCAATCTTGAGCTGAACTTTCGCCAAACTTTCGCCTTTTGCGGGGTAGAGTTTTGTGGCAAAGCCACCCCGCAAAGCAGGAGCAGGAATAGTAGTAGTAGTAGTCGTAGTGGTAGTGGTAGTGGTAGTAGTAGTACTAGTAGTAGTAGTAGTAGCAGCCGCAGCAGCAGCAGGTTATCTAACTTCCACAGCTCATCTAGCTTCTGAGTCACTGCCACCAGCTGTTCAGAAAGCAAATGAACATTCATACAAAAGTACATATTTAATCTTTCGCCAGATCTTTCGCCAAAAAGAAAATACTTTCGCCAACTCGAGAAAAAACTTTCGCCAAATGAGATTTTGATATGTTCCGGGTCATCGTCATACACACTGCTGACTAGGACCTTTAGATCGACAACCATATATTAGATACCGTAAGTTGAATTTATGAGTACTTTGTACTCATGACCTTCTGGGGTCCTTGTTTTTCAGTGCCGGTTCCGCTGTACGCCAACATTGAAGTACTTGCATGCTTCCATATCTTCCATCGCTCTTGGAATTTGGACACTCCCAAAGTAGCATCCTGTGCAGTAAGTGTGTAGGTGCGGTTTCTGAACTGACACTGAAGATGTGTTGAGTATTGTTCATTTGCCACCATTGTTTTTCACTGGGCCGCCCCAGAAAGGGCACCTGGTGACGGGCTTCCTTCTTCTCCAGGGACATGGTGGAGGAGCTTCACCCTCTTGGCGGCCACTGAAGAGCCCAATCGACCCTCGGACACTTCCAGTCGATCCCACGGCGGGGGTCGTTCGAGTCCAACACGAAGCGGAGTCGATCCCGATTGGTTCTTGGCGAAGTCAACGTCTTGTTCTGCGTCAGAAGAAAGATCAACCCATGAGATCTCGTGGACTCGTCGGGTTTTCGTTTTTTTGGCGGAACACAGTGGAAAACATCTCGTGGACTCGGGCTCCAGGAATCAGCTACAATAGCATGCTGAGTGCTTTGGAGAAGGGCGCTGAGTGGTCGAAGGCTTTGAGTTGGCTAGCTCAGCTGCAGCTTCATCGCGTGGGCGCAGATGAAATTAGCTACAATGCCTCCCTGAGCGCCTGTGGGCAGGCGATGGAGGACACGTTTGAGCGTGCTATTTCGGCTGTTGTGGTCCCAGGCCAAAGGTTCTATCCTTGGCAATGTGGACAGCTCCGGTCGAAAGATCTCTATCCACCCATCGTTGGACAATGAATGTGGGTCCATGGCTAAATGATGTTTCATGATGTTTCGATATGTTTCGCTGTGTCACTCAAGAGTCTTAAAGAGCGAAAAGATGTACAGGAGCGAACACGGGTTTGGCCGGGTAAACAACTCAGGGCACCCAATTTTTTGTCTTTTGCATAAGACAACTGGGTGTGCTTTCAAATAAGGAGACCCCCAACCCATGGGTTTTGGTCTATTTCCCTTCTCCCTATTTCACTGATCCAACTCAATGACCTTTGCACCCAAGACATCTCATACGTTCATGCAACTCGCAGGCGGGGCGCTGGGAGTATGCCGCAAATCTACTGCAAGTACTTGAAGGAATGACGCGAGCTTGACAGAAAGTAGCATGAGCTACAGCTAGCTAGGAGTTCCTTTTGTGTTTTTTTTGGAGGGGAGAGGGGGGTAGGCCGTAGAGGGTAGTAGCTAGCTTAGCTAGTAGAAGAGGTAGCTAGTACCTACAAGTGCTACTACTTAGGATGCAGGATAGCGCACGCTTCTTCAAGGAAGCTCCCCCGAAAAGCTTCGCGCTTCCTTGAAGAAGCGCTCGCACAATTTGGTTCAGGGTGGGGCCTAGATCTTTAGGGAACTTAAACTTACTATAGGGATGCTTAACTTCAGTCTTAGCACGGACTCAGAGAGTTTGGGTTCCATTCAGAACATCTATTCAGAGCCTTCATTCCCCACGGGTTCCACTAGGGTTCCCGGAATCCGCCAGCTCTCCTAGCAGGTCCAGGTGGTCTCACGGTGCGGAAAGGGAACCGACGGGCGATCGATCGATCCGTGGATGTCAAGGTGACCTGTAACCGTAAAAAAATGACCGTCACATCACGAGCGGCATGAACACCAGCGAAACTCAGGGCATGTTTACCGAGTCGCATGGTATTTTCGTGCTCTTCAAGTGTTGGGGGCGGCTCGGAAATGGTGGTCCGCAATGAGGTTTGTCACGCTGTTTTGTTCTACAAGGTCCCTTTGACCCGCGGTTCGTGTCCACAGGACATGGTCAGCCAGATGAAATCAGCTTCGCTGCGGCGGTGAGTGCCGGCGGGTGGTTTGCGTGCTCGGTATTGGGGTGTCTCTGTGTGTTTGGCTAGGAAGAATTGGCCACTTAGAGTATCATCATCGTCAGCATTGTCCTAAATTGTTCATCGCTGCTCAGGTGTTTACTCATCTGTGCTGTTTGGCTGTTGGCTATAGTTGCAGACTTGCAGGTGCTTGCGATCAAAAAGGTCGATGGCGGCCAGTGCTTGACTTGCTTCAAACGATGAGCGCCTCCTTGCTGGTTCCCAACCAGATTTGCGTCTTGGCCCATCTTGCCTTTTGCTTAGGCTTCAGACTTCTCTGTGAAATGGTAGCTAGAAGCTAGTATAGCTTGGAGGCCATCGGCATTAAAGGTTGGAGGCCATTACTTTCAAGTCGGACGCTCACATCAGTTGGTCCGCACCTTTCAGTGGGACGCTCACACAGTCATAGCTTCATGACATACTCCCACTCACCCTCCAGTCAACTCTCCAACCAGCCTGGTCAAGGCCTGAACTCGGTCATCAGCAGTTTCGAGAGTGGACACCAGTGGCAGCTCAACCGCGCATGATTCCGTTGTTCTTAGCCGTTCTTATTTGGCCCAAATCACTAGCCACCCTGCTGACCCTGCTGTCAACCCTGTACCTATCTACCCTGCCCAGGCAACTATGGGAGAACTATATATATATATATAAGTAAAATATATACAGTAACGTTTTGTTTGTGCACCATTTGTTTACTTTGTGACACTGTTGAATCTTGAGGGTGTATGATTCTCGCTTCTTTGCACTTCGTACGTTGTTTTACTTTGTCTATTTTGTTTGAACTTGTTGACATCCCAGCAACTTGTCTAGGAATACTATGTTGTGGGTCATGTTCCTCTAGACTTCAGTCCCGTTGGATTGAGGGTTAGGATTGGGTTGCCCATGGATTCCAGGCGTCAAACCACATATGAGAAACCTTTGGCTGGATCAGCGATGATCAGCGTAGGCAGTTTTGTTTTGCAGAAAATCGTGCAATGTAGGCCAGAAACAGACTTAAATTAGTAGACCCACAAAGGCTGCAATTTCCGCTGAAAATGTGTTTTAGCATGCTTAACCTCGAAAGCCAGAAACTCTCCCGGCAGGACCTTTTGCAGGTTGATTCTGCAAAATTTGGGTGTCTCATCTACAACCTAGGAGTTGCAACATCACACTTTCATTCATCAATCACCTTGTCGCCAAAGACTGTTGTTGGGCCTTGCAAGTGAGTAGGGCAACGAAACCAAGAAACGAACAAGCTCTTCAAGGCGTGGCGTGTTTCGGTGCACCGTGCGACAGAACCGTGTTTCGGTGCTCTGAGCTACACGGCGCTGTCCGATGGGTCGCTGGGTTCACCGGTGGTGAACCACCGAGGCGTTGGGCTCTCGAAGGGCTAATGGAGATGATTTGGAGAGATCATCCACGGGACGAGTACCTTGGGTTTCGAAAGGATTCGATTCGATCAGCCTGCTGTGCACCATCCCGTGCAGCATCCAACACTTAACAACGGGACTAGTAGCTTCCTGTTGCTAGTAGCGATGGCCTCCAACCTAGCAGCTTCTTGTTTACTGTTTCATTAGGCATCATGCTGCGCAGGACTCACTTGGGGCTCCGATGTTTGCTTCGCGTGGCGTCCGAACATCGGCGCTTCCTCGACACGGTCGGGACCAGGCGGACCTGGGTGGGGAAGTGGCATGAAGTGGCAACGGGTCCTCACCCGTGATGTATTTTCTCCCTGGAACTAATATGGTTACGTGGAATGGAAGTGGATGGCATGGCCCCGAGTTCGGAAGACCATGAAATCCACTACAAACAGGTGGTGGTTTTCCAGTCCCGTGTTAGTTCCAGGGAGAGTATGTTCTCCGGATGTTGATGTGAGTTCTTGATGTTCACGGGCTGCTGTTTGCCACACTGGATCTCAGACGACTCTTGTCCTGAAACTGTCAATCCGATTCATACACGGATTCTGTTCTGAAGCCTTGACTATCCTTGACTCATCCAGCGGTCGATTATTTTCCTCTCTCTCAGTGAGGCAAAGCTATGCCAGCAGTATCAGTGCTTGCGCAAAGTGCAGCCAACCTTGGTGGAGCCTTCGATTGTTGAGGTGGACGCTTGGCAGGTATGCTCCTGAGGCTCCTAAGGGTCTCCTAACAGTGACCTAACAGTGGCTCAACAGTACAACAGGAAGCATCGCTACAAAAGTTCCCGTGGATATCTGTGGATCCTGAATATAGTGGAGGCGCGTAACTGCACGTCAAGTCAAGAACATTCCAGAAAAACGGGCGGATTAGTGGTTCACCAATGATTTCTTGCTCACTGCGACGATTTGGCATCTCTCCTCCTTCATAGCAGGTTCTCCAAGCTGCACAGAAAAGAGAGCTGTTTGAAGTTGTAGATTGGCAGAGGCTGCCTCATGAAGTTCCTGGGTTCCGGTCATTTCAGCAGGTCAAAGCACTGGCATGGCCGTGCGAGGGATTTTTGTGCGAAGTCCGGAGGCCCAAAGACTCGAGGTTTCCCAAAGACTCAGCCGCAAGCGCTGCATTTGGCATCCCCATTTGGCATCCTTTCCTGTCACCAGGGAGACGGTATCATATTGATCAAAATATCGTTCCACCCTCATCAGTAGTACAGACAGGGATTATAAGCTGTGTAGCACTTCCCATGCGGGAGAGGCCGGCTGTGCGGTGCTGAGGATGGAGTCTGAGGGACTTCCATCCAACGAGCTCTCCCGGGCGCTGTGCATTGAGTCTTGTCTTTGGGGCGGCCATCCATTTGCACTCAAGGAGCAACCTGGGCTCACCAGCCGGAAGAGACAAGAATTAGGATCGAAATAAAGCCTTCATCAAGTTCAAACCGCAGTTCCACGTGGGTAGCGGCCAATGTTTTACAGCAAATCGAACCAACTAATCGATCACAATATGAAAGGATTTATTGCCACCTGCAGGGTATAGTAGAAATTGGTGGCCAACCTCCAGAATCTCTGGCGTGAAAAATCGCCATCCCTCTGTGGCTCAGCCATATATCTGTACTGTATACTATATTAGAATAAAATAGTATAAGTACAGAAAAAAAAGGAAGGCCTCAGATATGAAGACCTCAGATATGACATAGGAAGACCTCCCCTATGTTTGGGTGTGCATTAAAATAGGAAGACCTCAGACCTCCCAGGCGTTCCCACCCCCTGGGTTCGGTTCGGGACATAGACCAGTTGACCCAGCCAGGGCCAGGAACGTCTCCCTATCAGAATCCACACCCACATCATATGGCTGTGAGTCATGGCACCTCCCTCTCCAAACCGTGGTAGGTAGACTCCCCAGACATAGAGGAATTGGTTCATGTTCAAGAGTCAACCAGGGTGGCCAGGTGCCATGACCCACCGTCATAATATGTATGTATACACCCACATGCCGTAAATAAAGACATGTCGTGCGGCAGTCGTGCGGTCACAGGAGTCGGCGCACGAAGTCGAGCAATTGACGCTGGGCCGAAAGACGAGCCACGCCACGGAGGTGTTCTCCGATGACGCGGACTTCGTGGCGAACAAAACCGAAAAACACCGAAAAACACCGAAGTCACTAGTTGAAAGGTGGGGCACTTCAGAATTCGATTGGGATCCTTACATCTATTGATGTGTGTCTAAGCCAAGACTGGCTTACATCACAATCCAAGACTGGCTTACAGCTAGGTCTAGGTCAATGAGATCCACGTGGATTGTGTGCCACATCGATTGAAGTCACCCATCGTTCACCTTGGATGACCTGGCCAAAACCGAGGCTTAGAGTTTCATGACGGTGTTTGTTCGTGGATGTGGATGGATGGGTACATGGATACATCCTGGATAAACGAGAATCATCGATTCTCAGTTCGCTTCTCCTACTTTGTGTCTGTCAGTTAACAGGTTTTGAATTGTGAAGGCATGAAGACCCGCTTCTGAGGTCCAGAAAGGTGGAAGAGATTTGATATGTCAAGATACTGTATCCCATGTCGAAACATGGAGTCACATCATTGTTTGGTCGGTCAATCAACTTCCCATCCCAGGTACAATACCTTGATCGTTTTGTGGGTTCATTGAAGAAAACCTGGGGACACCAGAGGATTTCGGTTTTCACTTGTGGCGCGAGCTCACCTTCACCGAGGTCCTTCACAGCCGTTGCGCGGATGCGCCGATGGTCGTCGAGTAGCGGTGGGTCCAAAAAGCGCAGAGTTCTGTAGAGTTCTGTGTGCTTCAGTTTACACGCACTGATGGTTTTGGAAGGTCAAACATCATCTTCCAAGGGTAAATTTCATGGTCCATGTTAGTTTGAGGGCTGAGGAGATTCCCTCCCGCGAATGTGTCACATGGCCAAAGTGTTCGTCCTTGAACCTGAGGTTTGCCTATGGCCAGACCGGTGCAGGAAAGACGCACACCATGCGCCTTGGAAAGGAGGGAGAACTGGTTGAAGCATGTTGAAGCAGAAGATGAAGGAAGTAGCAGTTGCAGTTTCAGCACCCAAGTGGAGCACCAACAATAGCAGCAGGAGGAGGAGTAGTAGTAGTAGTAGGAGTAGGAGCAGGCGTAGGAGTAGGAGTAGGAGTAGCAGTAGTAGTAGTAATAATAATAATAATAGTAGTAGTAGTGGTAGTAGTAGTAGTAGTCGTCGTCGTGGTCGTGGTCGTGGTCGTGGTAGTAGTCGTAGTCGGAGTCGGAGTAGGAGTAGGAGTCGGAAGTATATAGTATTGCGTTGCATTGTAAGGGAGCCTCGAGTAACCTCATGCCATTGACGTTGTTGATCAAGATCCAGGAATGCCACAAACCAGGCCATTATGAAGTCCATACAAGACATCCATGACCAAGTAAAGACCAGTTGTGAGTTTGTGATCAAACCACAGCACGGTAATGAGCGTTAAGGCAGCACCCTGGAACGGCATTGCTTGCGGTAATGCACGTTAAAGTAGAATAGAATAGGCCCCCAATCCTTGCTTCCTATGTAGTAGTAGTAGTAGTCGTAGTAGTAGTCGTAGTCGTAGTCGTAGTAGGTATAGGTAGTAGTTAGTAGTTAGTAGTTAGTAGTTATAGTAGTAGTAGTAGTAGTAGGTATAGGTAGTAGTAGGTAGTAGGTAGTAGGTAGTAGGTAGTAGGTAGTAGGTAGTAGGTAGTAGGTAGTAGGTAGTAGGTAGTAGGTAGTAGGTAGTAGGTAGTAG